CCCCCCCCCCCCCCCGCCCATGCTTTCAGATGTGTTTTTGTTCTGTCTTAATCCCGGACACCTTGGGGAGCCAGGGGAGCCGAGTTTCCCACTGTGGGCCTGGGGGAGAAGGAGGAGTACCAAGAGTGGATATGTTTAGGGCTGATGAAAACCTGGGAAGAGCTGGTACAACCTGAGGCTTCCTTGGGAGGTTGTCTCCAAGTCAGAGTAAATACACAGCCCTCTGCTAACAGACCATGACTTGGCAGCGCGTTCACGGTTTCCCTCTCCAGATGTTGCCCATCTTCGCACGCAGCACCCCCCCCCCCCCAACCATTCGGCAAACTAAAGCAGGGGAACAGTTATCGATTGATTTGTTAACGACTTGACACTATCAGCCTGCTTTTTCCTTTTGCTATTTGCCTATGAATAATGAATACCTAAGTGGTCTAGAGCCTGATATTTACTTAGTGAGCCAGTGATAAAAGTTAAATAGATGCAGGTTGATTTCATGTGGGAGGTCCCTGGGGACTGTCTGGAGAGCAGGGTTGGCATGAATTAATGCACTCCTGTTCGATTTGCATTTTTTATGAAACTGAAATTATTCTCCTCAGATGATCACATAAACTTGGCCGTATGTTGGTAAGGTACTCTATATGGTCTATAATTTTAAATTATAAGGAAAAAAATTCCTTAGAATTTACTGAAGAATCCTAAGCGGTAACACGTTCTTGATCTACTGAGTATGGAGCTTAAGTTGGAAAATTATATGTTGTTTCCAATGCCAGTCATCTTTCTTCTCTTTAGATGGTATTTATAGAAAAACTTGTAAGGGTTTGCAGTTTGGTTTCATAAATAAGGAGAAGGAAATAGCATGACAGATCTCAATATATTCAACTATTCAGTAATTCAACAAATACGTATTGAAGGGTCCTGCATGTTAGGCTTTCTGCTAGTCTGTGGGGGTGCAACTTACTTATGTTTTTCATAGACTAAGGTTTTCCACTAAATTGGCTTTTGGGTACAGTAGTATCCAACAGCTTCCAACCCAAAGAGGCTTAGGGTTTAATTGTATCTTTAAATATTAATGAGTATAATTTCTAAATGAAACAAAACTTCCAAGTTTACCTTTGTTGGAATCAGCTGAATTAATCATTTTTTTCTTGAAAAAGAAATAAAATTAAAGGCATTGCCCTCCTCAATAAGAATATGAATATTTTCTGTTTTTTAATTTCCAAATCCATCTGTAAAACTTCCTGGGTTTTTTGGGTTTTTTTTTTAAGGCCTAATGTTTCTTTTGACAGTTGTTGAGGAAGGTAACTGAAATGGACTCATTGACTCGCCATTTTCATGCATTTTACTCCTAGGCCATTTACCCCCAAATCAGGTTTCTTTCTTTCTTTCTTTTTTTTTACTTAAAAAAAAAAAAAAAAAAGGATTATTTATTTATTTATTTGACAGACAGAGATCACAAGTAGGCAGAGAGGCCAGCAGAGAGGAGGAAGCAGGCTCCCTGCTGAGCAGAGAGCCCCATCCCAGGACCCTGGGATCATGACCTGAGCTGAAGGCAGAGGCTTTAGCCCACTGAGCCACGTAGGCACCCCCCTCCCAGTTGGTTTCAATTCATCTATCTGATCTGGCTTTATAACTTGAAGTCATATTCCCCTGAGTATGGTGCTCACTAGTTAAGGATTTGAAATGCCTGACGATTATGGATCACTGATTTGAAAGAAGCAGGACAATAGTGGGTGTTTCCTGCTAGTTATCAGAAGAGCTCTATCCATATCTTTGTCCTCAGTTAAGTACCTGTCAGGTGGGTGGGAGTCCAAGACCCAGGGACTCCTGAAGACACTGAAGAACTTTCAGGCTGGTCAGCTAATGTTTGCCCGGCAGCTGAATAGTCCCTTTGTTTGTTTGTTTTAAAGGTTTTATGTATTTGAGAGAGAGGGCATGAGTGGGAGAGCAAGGGCCAGGGAGGGGAGGAGCAGAGGGAAAGGGAGAAGCAGATTCCCTGCTGTGAGCAGGGAGGCCAGCCTGGGGTTCTGCCCCAGGACCCTGAGATCATGACCCCAGCTGAAGGCACATGCCCAACTGTCTGAGTACCCAGGCATCCCCAGCTGAACAGCCCTGAGAGCAGATACTACAAACATATAAGAAAACATAACAGCATTAACTCTTTTATGGAACCAAGTTTTCATCTAAGCAACTGATATTGGTCCTAGTACTTCCTCTTTTTTGTCTTTTATTTTTATTATTTTTTTAAAAAATTCAAATTAGTTAATATATAATGTGTATTATTAGCTTCAGAGTAGAGTTTAGACTGCATCAGTTGCATGTAACACCCAGGGCTCATCATATCAGGTGCCCTTCTTAATGCCCATCCCCCAGTTACCCCATAAACCACTCACTTCCCCTCCCACGACCCTCAGTTTGTTCCCTATAGTCAAGAGTCTCTTATGGTTTGCCTCTCTCTCTGTTTTTATGTTATTTTATTTTTCCTTCCCTTCCCCTCTCTTCATCTGCTTTTCTCTTAAATATGTCTTTTAAATTAAATGTAGTCATATGCCTCTCTCTTTTATTAGAAATTAGGACATAACTATGATAGTCTACCTTGGTTTTATTGAAGCTGTTGTATCAGTTTTAAAAATGCATTTTCCTTTATTTGAGGAATATAGCAACTTTGAGACATAACAGCTCCCTGAGATTCTAAGGAGTTTCCTTGCTTTGCTCGTTGATGGGAATCTGGACACTGAGGTGCTCCATGCCCTTGGCACGCTTTAGAATCTGAACAAGCCACCTGGTAGCAGAATCCACAGCTGACTTCCAGAGTCCCATAGGTGTGTGGACTTTGGTCATCAAAGGCACTTTGGAATATTTAGTGTTAAAATCTTATAGCTTTACAAATATATGATTTAGCTCACTTTTCCTACCTTTCATTTTAAAGTGCGTGGGGGTTCTTTTATGAATATCGTGATTAATTTCATATGGTGGATTTGCTTATTTGTTTCCAGTTCCTTAAGATTTCTTTCTATTATACATATTTTAACCATTTGAAAAGTAAATCAGAATTACAGAAGTACTTTCTGGTTGTGATTATCTGGGCTTGTTCTCCGTGTGCAAAATTGTGTTTGATCATCAAATAGTGTTTATTTACAACTACCCCACGTTCATGCTTCTGTTTCGTAGTATTGATCTGAGGCTTTTTAAATGCATTGGAGGAAATGGTGGCAAGCATTTCTCATTGCATCTCTTATTAAATGTCTGAAAGTTGCTGTATCTTACTGTTTAACCACCATAGGTTAACCTGAAATGGGGACGGGAGTATTATCTCATTCCCATTTGGTCTTGTGACTCTGTAAACCATCACTCCCTTCCTTTATAACAGTATCCATTGGGGTTGACTTGAACTCCCAAGGGCCAGTGGTGCTCAGTTATAGACAAGACATTCTTTAAAAAAAAAAAAAAAAAAGACATTTTGACTACGAGGCTACAAGACTTGCTTCTACTCTCTATTAATACTTTGTTGTCAAACTCATTGCAAAATTAACTTCGATTTTGCATGCTGCAAACCTCGAGCCTCCTAGAGCTTTTGAGTCTAATGGGAAGCCAGAGCAAGGGGAGGCTGGAGGTGGGAACAAGTGCGGAAAGGCTGTTCTCTCC